GGCCTGTTCCTGGTTCCAGCAGAAAGAAACAGAGTAAGAAAGGATCTTGCAGGACCTCAATCCTTTAATTGACCTGAGTCTCAGTATTAACCTTGCTCTCTCCACCACAATTCTCATGTTATAAATTTATATTGGGGGTTACCAATCTTATCAGCACTGCTCTGATAAAAAAACTCCTCAAGGTACCCTGCCATGCTTTCTCTCTTCCATGTTCCCYAAATGATTAAGGAAATTGAATTATTTTGGGGGAAACTTCTCTCCATTGCCTTTTAAGTTTATCCATATCGTCTCTCAGAAGGAAACCAGATACACTGAGTGCAGTGAGGCTGAATATAGCAGCTGCAAGCTTAACAGGTGAACTGAGACAGCCTTTGTAATACAAGTTAATAAGAATTAAACTAACTTATTCAAACCTCTAAAATATAGCTTCTTTTTCAATAGCTGCATTTACTGTAGTTGCAGTTCCTCTTGTTTTATCTGAAAAATGTCATGTATGTCTACGAGACAATGAAAATAATGTTGTCCTGCTGAAAGGATGCCACTTTTTAATAAAAATGTCATTATTTTAGACTATTATAAATACTGTTATTTAGTCATGACTCTTGAGCTAGTTGCATTGTAAAAATATCCATTGCCAACAGACATACAGCACTTTTCCCTCAGTAGATGAGTGTTATTACTCCCACTTACACAACAGCCAAGTCAAGCAGACAGCAGTTGGGCAAACTTGCACAGCTTAGTAAATTCAAAAATACTGGAATGATCAAGACACATCTCTTTCTCTCAAATATGGTCCTACTTCTTTGTATTACTAATGTACTTTGTATTACAATCTGCTTCATTTCAAGTTAATGCAGAGATTGAATCATAATTATGAAATGAGGATTTCACATGTACATTGTCATCCACAAGCCCTGATTTGCATTGCATATGTCTAGATTTCTTTATGAAAGTTACTGGACACTTAATCAGCACATCAAAGGATCCATGCACACACAGCAATTATGTATATGCCTTTGAAAATGAGATTTCTATTGCCTCTTCAAATATCTATAAATTATTATTTTCACTTAAAAGCTGGAATCATGAAAACTGTCTTAATTAAGCTAGAAAAACTCTTAACTCAAATTTAGAGCTACAGTGTAAATCATTATTACTATCAAAACTATTTTAATTGGCTCATGATCACAGATAAGAATTAAAACTCTTAAAGAGAAAATAAGAGCAGTTGCCACCATGCATCACACATACATCTGGTTCTCAAGCCAAAATAAACAATACAGGCTAGAGAGTCCATGAATATTCTGAAAGGTAAATACAGAAAACATTTATGGCTTTTTTAAAAACCACTTCATTCTGCCTGTAATGTTGTCCTTTTGATAGACTTATCTGTGAAATCTGGCTGATGATGGAAATAGATGTCAGCACTCACTGGGTTATTTTTTTGTTTGTGSTTTTAGATTGTGAAGTTCTGAGGTTGCCTAAGAAACTTATAAAAACTTATTTTACTGACTAACTAATACTAGAAATCTTTCTATAAATTCAGAGAAGTAAACACGTCAATCTAAGTTCGTCTTTCATCCCTTGGAATTTGTAACTACCTACTGCAAATTAGGTATTTCCATCTCGTTATTTACCACTCGGAAAAAAATCTATCATCACAAAACACACGAAAATAAAGCCAGATCCAGTCCTGTCTGCTTAGGATCACCTGAACAGTTGCCTACAAAAATACTGTGGCTTACAAGCAAAGCAAGAAATGGGTAACAGTATCATCAACTCATAACTGTACACAGACAAGAAGGACTTCCAAACTACTCAGTTTAAGAAGAAGCACCAAGGGTAGAGTCTATCCTTCACATTATTAATGCACAAGTGAAGAGAAAAATAAAAAAAAAAAAATCTGCATTCATAGAAATCCACAGTTCTTAGGGTTAAGTGAGTAAGATAGGGTTCCCACTATCTTACTCACTTCTTATGTAAAACAAATAGCCATCTCTATATAGATGTTACATGCATAACAAAGTAGTTACACATTTTTTACACTTCAGTCATTAAAATCTAGCTTGCACTTATGGCCAGTGATAAGATCAGCAGCATCTTCAGAATGGTGTTCAGAATTGTTCAGAAACAATCAAAAAAAGCATGCAAGGCTGTGAGGATAAGCAGACCTATAATTTTGACAAAGCACCACACCAGCATATATGAAACAGTATCTCTGATTAACTCAATTGGCTATATAAGGCAAAATGATCTGCTGAAATATTGACATTGGACTTCTCAGACAACTGCAGAACCACGCTATTTTCAAATACACTAAAACAAAATATACCTTCAATATCAGTGAGGTCAACAGCAAGAGCAGAGTGATCCAATCCTTACCAGAAGGAGTAATTCAATAAACAGTTCCACCTTCCTGAAAATCTGACTCTACCTCAATGAGGTACAACTCTGCCAGACTGACTGACTTACAAGAGACCTTACCCATACAAAAAGTATCCTCATCTCCAGTAACTTAACACACCAGGAGCAATTGCAGCTGCCATTACAGAAGTTGAAATGTGAATGAAGTATTTACTTCTCTTTCTAAATTTTTCTAATGCTATTTGCCAATCAGAAACAAGAGGGGAAGCTCAAAGACACCTTCAGCACGTTGTGTGGACAACCAGCAAATACTGTGAAATTAAACACTTCTATGAACAGAAGGCTCTTGTCATACTGCAGTGATAGATGCAACTTAAAAATCTTTGATGTGGTAATTAAGTGTGGATGCAAATTTAAAAAAAAATACAAGAATTTACATYGTAGACAAATATATTTCAAACGCAGTTGAGAAAATAATGCTGGAAATATCATATTAATTGATTAGCTCTTTTAATAATATAGCTTGGAAGGATCTTTTAGTGATTGGATACACTTAATTTTTGCCTCAGGAAAAGAAACCCCAAAGGTTTGGCATCTAGATTCAAACTAGCTTTCATTAGCACACTAATAAACATTTCCACTATATAAATGGTAAGTAAAGTACCACAGAACCTTGCTAACTTTGACATCAACCAAAACCAGACCCTTAYGAAGCAGAAACCACATTGGTCTCTTCCAACTTCCCAGCAAGACATTTATTAACAGCACACAGTAGCAGGGTGTCCTATTACCAAGACTTTTACCACATACTGTTCAGGCCACTTACTATAATATTATGAAGTAATTAATATCACCTGCAAGAAAAAATGAGCATATTTGTTTGTTCAGTTTCTTAATCAAAAAATCAAACAAAGAGTGATAGCTTAAGTCATATCATTATTTGAGAAAATCATATTTCATTAACAAAATTCAGATTCATATGCCCCAAACCTCTTTATCTCAAAAATAGCTAGAACAGATGTATATTTCACAGAAAAAAAAAAGTCATGACTGCAAAAGCTGAACTCTTCTATCCATTTTCTAACTTCTCAAACGGTGCTAAAAATGGAATAAACCAAATTATCCAGTTTTCTGTAAATTGAGTCTTGTACTTTAAACAGAGAAATACATCTACCAGAGATACAGAAAAGCCATGCAATAGATGTTTTAGATATCTTCCAGAACACGTTTATCAATATTATCATTTGTTTTCATCAATAACTCCCTTTCTGTCACTAAGAAACGCCTATGTCTTCTTTTACCTCTTCTAATTAAAGAATTAATCCTGTATTGATTCATCCTCAGGAGGAAAAAAAAAAAAAAGAGAGAGAAAAAAGAAACCTCACTGGAAGGGAGAGAGAAAAAAAATGGAGGGAGAAAGACACAAATGTGTCTAAAGTTCAGTTAAATTTGAATTGTGTAAATCAACATTAAAACGAATGTGGAAAAATCTACAGGCTTGTTCTGATATTCATACAGTTCTTCACTGAAGCCACGTTTCCCATATGTAAATTCCACGTGCTGTTACTTGAGTCACACCCAAAGCCAAGGGTCCTTTCCTCAAGCACCACCCTTCTCGTGACGGGGATTTCAGTTAGGTTTTGCCACTGAGGTGTGCAGTTGCTTACACGCATGCACTTACACATCATCAAGTGGCCAGAAGCAAACCTGTTGGCACTGCAGATAGGCAGGGAAACAGGAGAAAATAATAATGTGGTACAGGTTTAAGCCTATGTATTTTATGCTGAGAAATTTCCAAGGAAAACCCCTGTTATCTGGTAGTTTCCAGACATGTTAGACAAAGAATTAGCAAGAGACTGTGACTATGTAGCCTGGAGAGAGGAAGACTTGCCCTGGGTAGAAGACGACAGGGTCAGAGAATACTTAAGGAAACCTGATAACCACAAATCCAYGGGCCCTGATGGGATGCACACAAGAGTGCTGTGCGAGCTGACACATGTTATTGCTAAGCAACTCTCCAGCATCTTCGAAAGGTCCTGGAGAATGGAGGAGGACTGGAAGAAAGCCAATGTCACACTGATCTTCAAAAATAGCAAGAAGGAGGACCTAATGCAACTGCAGGCCAGTGAGCCTCACCTCTATCCCTGGGAAAATTATACAAGAGCTCATCCTGGCTGTTGTCTCCAAGACAAGAACGTGTTCAGGAGTAGTCGGCATGGATTCACCATTTGAACTAGATGATCTCCAAAGCTCCCTTCCAACCTTAAGGATTCTACGATTCTATACACAGCAGCTGAACTGGCCTTCCATTCCCTTCAGACAGGGTAGTCAGTTGGCTGTGCTTAAATCAGGGCACTCAGGTGGGGGTGGAGGAAAGAAAAAAGGCAKAATTTGTTTGTTCCTCCTGCGGTCATCTGTGCACACACCTTTCCCAAACGAAATCAGGCTTTCTCGAGAAAGCCCTGCTCCTTCCCTCTTGTACAAGTGCCCGGGCCCTCCTCTCTGCAGAGGAAACTCCAGGCTGAATCCAGAAACCTCTTCCATTTGCAGCATTGTTGCCATCTTGATAGATATATAGTAGAAAACCGTTTTCACTTTTCTGGTCTTGTAATAACATTATGTTAAAGGTGTATTACCGCAGTTTGGAATCTTCATATCCAGCAAAGCTGTCCTCTTGYTGTTGTCATCTGTGCAATATAAATCCTGAGTTTCTGTGTAGAACTTGGCCTCTTGAAATTTCTTGATCCACATAATTTCACAGGAACACTTGAATGGATTATCCAGCAATATCCTACAGTAAAAAGAGAAAAGTTATTTCACATCAGCTAGATGTGTTGTCAATAAGCACTATTTCCTTTCCATCAATATGAATTCTCATTGTTTCTGTTACAGACATATAAAGCTTCACTCTGTCATTCCCTGTCCTGTCTTTTTTTTTTTCTCTCTTTCCCTCCTTCAGGAGCAAACCAACTTCTTCAAAAACACAGTCAACTACTCAGTAAATACATATGTAGAGATTTGACTTAGTTCTCCTTCAAAATTTCATAAGCATCTACTTCAACCACAACATAAAAGAAACTGCTCACTTGAGATGGACAGGTTCAAGAATACCTTGATCTGTACTCTAGAATAAATCTGTTAAAGCTAGCAGTCTAATTCCAACAACAGAACTGAAAGCAGATAATGTCTTTAAAATTCTTGTCGTTCCCTTTTAACATACTTCATAAGCTAGAGCATACCCCCACTYTTACATTTCTGTGGTGTGGGGGTGGCTAAGATGACCCCGTTTCTCCACTAGCTGCTTTGAAACATTAGGAAAAGACCAAAGAACTCACACTGTGCACTAGTCAAAGTCCTATAACCCTGCTTTTTGAAGTGATAACAACTACAAAACATAGAATTTACAGCCAAATGCACACTGGCTTTTTGGCAATGACTAAGCATTACATATGAAAAAAAGGGGACTTCAGAAACAACAGGCCCACGTGGGGAATATAGCAATGTGAGAGCTCTGACCCTAGCTAGTCTTTTCATCAGCATATAGTGACTGCCAAATTATAAAAGAAAATTCCAATGAATTATGTTCCCCTGGCTGTAAAGAGAGTGATTATACCAATTTGATTAGCAACCAAACATACCTAAAGGGGAAAAATTTCTTAATGCAGCACAGGACATGTTCACTTAATTTCTTATGTGCTGAAGTAAGAACATGCAGCAGAAGTTCAGGACTGCAAGGCACCCTCCTGGGCTGCCTGGATCCTACTCTGCACCCCAGGAGTGCTGTTTCCCTCTGCCTCCAGCGCAACCATCCCAAAGCTCCCATGGGCTCTCTCTTAGTAAAGGCTGAACAAGAAGACCACTTCTCCTCCTACATTTTAATGTCRAAGCACAGTTCCAGATCATAAAATTATTCTAAGATACATCAAGGTAAAGGACCAGTAATAAGAGCCTCACACAAAGGACAACTTCTGCCCTCATTACTTTTTGGTGCAAATGTCAGTTATTCGTAAACTCAGTCTTTCTATGAGTCCTCCAAATAAACACAATACATCAGTATCTGCCGGACAGACACACAACATCCCTTTCTGACCTTCTTTTGACTTTCCAATTGCATAACTTTGGAATGTACATAAGTATATAAATTCTGCTTGAAGAAGTACAGAGTAAAAATACAATATTGATACAGTGAGAAAGTGTATTTTTACGCATTCTTCACTACCAAATGATTATATAAAGCGCAAAACAACTTAAAGGATTTGAAAAAACAAAAATATTATTTCATAGCCAACCACAGGCACAGCAACTATGAGACTAATATAAGAATATGTGATAAACACCTCATGTGAATATGAGTAGTTGGCTCTATTTTTACCAGTTCAAATATTTAATGTAAACATCAGCAATTTTGTGTGAAATAATCTTATAATAATATATTTTAAAGCTGGAGGAAGTAGCTACTTTGACCCTTAAATTCGTGTTAAAATACAGTTGATCTTTTCTGAAGTCCTGGAATCAAAAATCTCTGTGTACTTAGATCACTGCCAACATCTTCTCTGCCTTCTTTGGATGAAAATTTCATTCCTAATCTTTGATGGACATCTAACTTTAACAGAACAAACCTGATAGTCTTGTTTTTCCATTTCTGGTCACAAGTAAGCATTATTTTAAGAAATGACAACTTACAGATCAGTCAAACCCAGATGGCGAAAAGGCTTCTTGGACAAACTTGAGAGCTTGTTTCTGGACAAGTTGCTAAGGGAAAAACAGATAAATTTTATCAATTAGGTTTGTTTCTTCTTACCAAAAAAAAAAAAAAAAAAAGAAGCCAAACCAGCTCTAAAAAGCTCTAATTCCTTTGACTTCAGTGGTACAGAATGATGACCAGTCTCTTTCTTTATGGTTTAAAGGGTATCTAGGATTTGAATGCAGCCTATGTATGAAGTTAAATGCGTTCTTCAAAATCATTAGCRCTTTTGTTCGTTGCAGAAAAGCAACGGATTTAATTGTATTTCAAAAGTATTCTGTAAAGTCCAGGTGTTAATTACATGCTCAATTTATTCATAAGTGAAATGGGTGTATCCCCTCCTTTGATGCTGTACGAAACTCTGTACTCACATAAGTCCTTCTCACATGCTAGCACATATCCACATCACGGCCTTTTAGTTATTCTTTTCAAACTGCATGTGTAATATGCACGCACATGAAAGATCAAAAGGAAAACTGTAAAATGCCTATATTGGGCTTTTTATGTCAATTAAGCACTTATGGTTTCCAGTGCTAATTAAGTCAAAGGACCTCCCCCATTATGCAGACCAAATAAACRCTTATCTGAATCAGAAATGGTCCCCCTCCCAGACTTACAAAACATTTTGCTCCACCCCAAATCAAAATAATGCTGTTCTTCTATGGCCTTGTCAGTCCATAAATTACAGATAGCGAGAGCAACAAACTGTAAAATTGCCAGCAACACCGTTCATATCAACAGTATCAGTCAAAACACCATGAATTTTACATAATACTATACAGGCGCCATAGGGTCTCCATAATTAAACTTTCACTGCATTTATATGAAGGACTAAGTATCTTGCTTTTCTTCCCGATTAAAGAACACAGTTTACTCCCCAAACTTTAAGCCCTTGATCTCTGAGTACAAGACCATTTTCAGAGAAATAGCAAGGATGCAAGCAGGATCTTTTATAAACATTCAAAATGGAATCTTTATGAGATTTTATTTACTACAGTTCTTTGTTGATTCCTTCTTGCAACCTATGGCAATGAATTCAGCAAGCTGATTGGTCCTAATGTGTGAGAACAAAATGTRCAAACAACCATTTCATTAGTCACTTCAACCAAGCTGCCCTATGCCAGATGCAGGTGCAGAGAAACATCTCATGCCCACCCTGACCAGATATATCAAAATGTGCATGTAGGACAGAAGTTGTGACTAAGTAAAAAACAGTACTTAGAGAGTAAGTAGCTATAATCATTTCTCCATAAGCTGGGAAGTTGAAAGAATTTAAACCCTCATATGGAACTGAGTTTGTCTTTCCAGACAACGCTAAGCACATCACATCTCACCTGTCCTTAGGCAACCCTCACTAGTCAAGCAGAAAAATCTCTGCAGCCCTGACATTGCCAAGCCTCACATGCTCCATGGTATTCCCAAACAAGGCAGGTACTTGCTTCTGTTCCTTGCACAGTGACAAAAGTCCACCTGGCCTCGAAGACAACCAGACTTATAGGCCTTTCCAGSAGCTAGGCGCCCCCGCCACGCACTGGGCTAGTGGGAGGAAGCACATTCCAAGTCCTGGGAGGACTTGGTGCTTGGTTTCCACATACCAGAGGACCAGGAGGAATCCCTACTCTTCAGACAACGGCTCACTCACAAGGATCACTGTCTAGCCAAAACTCTTTCATTTAGTGCAATCCCACAGCACCCTAATGGAGAAGGCCGGGGCTGAAGCTCTAATTCCAGACTAGGTCAAAAAAAAGCAGGTTTTAAACATGACATGCCAATTTCTAAATACTAGAATATCTGAATTTGAGACCATGGCATGGGTCTCAAATACCTCATGCATGTCCTATGAGATGTTTTTTCCTTTTTTTCTTTTCCTTAAGCAATAATTGACTGGGAAAGGCTTTGCTGTTGGTAGTCTGGGGTAGGTATAAGAGTCTGTCTACGTAATGGGCAGGTCTGAAGCCACATTTTTCTTAAAAATTTCCACCTCACTGGCTACATTTCCTTGCTCAGCATACTCATGTTCATCTAAATTGCTCCACTGTCCATGAAGAGCTGAGATGCTTCAATCAGAGCTATAAAATTACTGGACAGTAGACTGCGAAACAGTTAGGTGTTGCCACAACTGTATCTTGCTAATATTTAGCCTCAGGCCATGAATTGTATTTGCTGAATTATTGCAATCCTCTACACATAAGAATAGCCTTTCTTGTTTACATTCATAAACAACTAGACTTAACTGCCCCAAAAGACAGCTATAATGGTATTTTCTGAACCCTTTCTTGCAGGTATAAAAGGGAGCACGAGCTAGTGAAGGCCTGAGACTATTAAGTGAAATTAAAGAGAAAATAAAGAAATATTATTTTGTTTTTAATAAAAAAAAATAAAAGTAGCTCAGTTGGTATTTTGGTCTTTTGGTTGGTAAGTTATCTCTTCAGATTTTGACCAGTTGTGTTGGACACAAGCCAGACAAAGGAAGTAAAAAGCAGTAAAATAGTAACAAAAAATCATTCTTAGTATACATTCTCAGTCATGACTTGACACATTTACTACTTTAGGACTGAGTTCTTTCATGCAGGTCACAACCTTAAGGTTTTTCTAATTCAAATGACTTTTTTTCAGCCCATTGTTAAAAGATTTATCATCTTGAACTATATTTTGTCAGTAAATCTACTGTTATATATATTTTTCATAAGCTGAGCACTTTGTATTGATTATAGAGATGCCTACTTTGCTCTCTTTAATCCATCTTAAGTATAAAAAACACTACCAGGCTTAGTAAGGAGTAAGGACCACATTTACACTGCATGCAAAGAGAATACAAATTAGTTCCCCAGTTCTATTACAAACACACACAAAACTTGTGGTGAGGAATCAAAGAACCTCTATGTGGTGTTCAAAAGCCTTTTAAAAAAATGTCAGGAGCACACAGCCTGGCTCCAATGCTTTACCAAAAGATAGGACTGCCAGAATCCTGTAAAAGCAGGACTGTGTTTTACATATGAATGTCAAGACTACTTTATGCTAACACAACTATGAGCACAGCTGTGGCAATGCAGGGAGCACAGCCAGAGAAGTTACATAAGATTCATAACTACAGTTGGGTCTACAATGGTCARATGTAGTTGCTTTTAACTCTGATCAGGCCTAAAAATACAAACACATTCTAACACTCAGAGCTGTAAGTGTGTGCAACCCTGTGATTCAGCAGTGCAACTGTACTCAGCCAGATGCATTACAATACCTATTTTTTAATGTTTTGGGCAATACACACTTGCTGTGAAATTTATATCTGTGTTTAAAGGTATTGACAGAAAACCATGCACTTGTACTAAACAGACCAGTTAAAATTATTGTTAGTAGCAGATGAGYTTATAAATTACTGCACTACTAAACTAGAACTGTTTAATAGCTTGTTAAATGGGACTGTTGACTAATTTGAGTCTAAAGTCAACAAGAATACCAGAATTAGATGAGCAAGTCTATTAATTACATTCACGTGATATCTACTATAGCATTTCTCTTCCTGTTGTTTATATTATTACTTAATTCTTGTCATCATACATCAACTAGAAAGATACTTGGATTACAGAAGTTTGGWCAAGAAAAGAAAGTAATGAGAAAGGAGAGGCTTAAGTTACTGTTTGTTAATAAATTCCTTAATTTGATATTCCTTAATAATTCAGAAAACAAATTTTATATTCTCATAATAATGTTTCTTAACTGCATTAAAAGACTTCTCATGTGAGAAGACTGTAACAGTATCATTAGCAAAATGAACACTCATACAATTATATATCACTCTTCAGAAAAGTAGAATTTACATTATCTTTTTGAAACAATGACAAATTGTTATTTTAAAATAAACCATAAGACTTCGCAAAGACTTGTAGTCAGAGGTCACTCTGGGGAAGTGAAATGATTTCAGCTTTTAATAGTTTTCTCAGTCCCAACCACAACAGGGGCTGCATTTCATTCCCAATGCAGTCAACAGGAGTTTTATCCTGATGACAACAAGCATTGATTCACTGGAGCTTTCAGAAACATCTTAGCATACATCAAGACTTCCTAGTGAAAACAAACAAATGCCATTTTTTTTTCAGGGATAACAGATTGTCCAAGGCCATAAAAAAAAAAAAAAAAAGGGCCTCATGCTAACTATTTTGTCACATGTACAAAGAGCAGGCAGTCATTGCCCCTTTTTATTTTCAGTCTTAATTTGATTTATCCTTTATCTGCTAACACTACTAATTCCTCATCAAAAAGATCCCTCTTATAGTCCTCTCCTCTGAGTTAGGAACACACACAGAGCAACCTGGCTGGTCAATCAGCCTAGTTTGTTTCCAGCAATTAGCTTCACAAACTCACRATCTAATAAAGCCTGCTTACCAACAGATGTGTACTCCATGTCTGACTGTGAGCTCTAGTGGAAACTCTTCCTTCYGCTGAGGTATTTTAAAGACATCCTGTCCACATGGATTCTCTAGCGCCCAAAGAGCATACGCACACGATGCTATTTCCCCCCTAAATGAGTGCACTTACAGGAGCTCTCTGTTCTATCCAGTGGTCCAGTTTCCACAAAACCTCTTCATCTACGTAAGTTTTGATCAGAAGCAACCACTGGGGACAGACTGCCTTTTTTTCTTAAGGAAATGAGACTCATGGTGTCACTAAGCAGAAAAAAAAAAGCCTTCATCATCCATATTACTTTTTGCAGTGTCTAGCTGCCTGTACAGCTAGTAAGGTGCTACAAGATTTTCCTTGCTGGAGGAAAAAAAAAAAAATTATTTTTCACCCCATCTTTGTGTTGTGGAGAAAACTGTCTCTCCTTTTCATAACTGTTCTCCCTTTAAAATTCTGTATATTCCTTTTCAGTCTTATCTTTACTGTTCTGAAGTAACTCGGCCTTCTCAGTGTTTCCTTAAATGATTTGCTTTAAAAACTCCTTATAGTTCTGTTGCATCTTTCTGCATGGGTAGATTCAGTCTCCACATATACTGTAACTGCTAGATGCCTTCCCAGTAGTTAAAGCAATGGTGAAAAGATGAAAAACTGCAACAGAAAATTCCTTTTGATTCCATACTGAATTTGCTTTGCTCTGCTGCACCATGCTGAKGTTCTCCCCCATTCTAACTACTAAATCTTTCTCTGTAATTGTGCCACATAGCCAATAATTTTTCACTGTGCCTTTCCACAGGGATTGCATAGGCACTTTTCTTGATAGAATTTCATCTTGCAGCACCATAATTCACTGACCAATTGTCACACAGATAGACACACCAACACACTCTACAAGATACTTCCCATATTCTCCAATTGATTATAGTAAAAGCAATTTACYTTATTAATGACCGAATGAAGCAATATTTAATCCTTACAGGTTGGCAAGATCTGGTTCATACTCCTCCAGTGTTTGCTTCATATTAGGAACAGCAATTACTATGTAGGCAAATTCATGTCATGTCTACTCAACTCGTGTCTACTTTTTCAAACTCGTGTCTACTTTTTGATATAAACTAATTTATCCTTGGAAAACACACATGTAGAAAGGGAGCCCATTTTATTAACAAAGCAATCAGCACTAAGCCAAATTTAACAACRCTTCCATATTACAGTAAAGCATTCAGGCACCTTATAAAGTCTGAGCTTTGGGCTTACTACTTATTGATCTAACTAGCACTTTAACAAAAGTCACGGGTTAGGTAAGTGGCAACTAACAAAGACAGATGGCCTTAAATACAAACTTTAAAACTTCACTAAAACAGTGTATCTGTGAGAAGGTAAGTCCCACACATTTTGTAGAATTGGGACTACAATTTTCCACGTAAGTAGGAGGAGTGCCTGTCCCACTGTAAGGCACTCCAGTCCTTCAGGGATATTCCACAGAACATTTTTCTTTATTCTTATAAAGAACTCTGGTCAATTCCGCCTTTACTAAATCTAAAGTGCAAACAATCTAGAAAAGCATAGGCACAAAGCTGCACAGCTAACAACTCTGTCTCCTGAAATTCATGAACCGCAATCTGCAGATGGGTGGGAAAGTTACTTCATTGATCTGATCATGATCCTCTTTTACAAGAGCTCATTGCAGCACAGTCTCAGGACATACAAGATGCTAAAATGACACTGAAAGATGTGCTCCAGGCAGGCACTCTGGCTACTAAAACATGTTCAGTCCACTGAATCAGATTACAGCTAGTGCAACATCAAGCCCATGTCAGCGAATGTGATACACATTGTATGGACATCATACCCTCGGCACCAACTGACGCAGTCCGGAAAAATACTCTAATAAAGAAGCAACTGCCAGAAACCACAGTTGGAGCTGTCCTTCATTCAGAGTCAATGGGCTGGATGATCTTATTGCCACCTTACAGGATATTTTTAAGATCTGCCAAAYCCTTATCACACATGTCCTATTTCAAGTCCCTTAATGACAAGAGACCATTCCAAGTTTTTATAATTAAAACACTTCATATAAAGGAAACAACTCTTCTGGCTAAACTCTTCTCAGTTTGGCCAATGACACGACAAGAGGTAATGGGTACAAGTTGAAACACAGGCMGTTCCATCTCCAWGTSAGGAGGAACTTCTTTGATGTGAGGGTGACAGAGCCCTGGCACAGGCTGCCCAGGGAGGTTGTGGAGTCTCCTTTGGAGATCTTTAAAACCTGCTTGGACGCAGCCCTGTGCCCCGTGCTCTGGGTGTCCCTGATGGAGCAGGGGGTTGGACTAGATGATCTCTAGGGGTCCCTTCCAACCTCAACCATTCTGTGATTCTGTGCAATAGGAATAAAGAGAAGGGATTTAACAAGAATGGGGTAGTTTTCACTTAAAAGACAGAAACAAAGTTTACTCACATGTATTGTAGGTTGACATTTTTCACAAATGCCTGCCGGGACACAAACCGTAAACCTGAATCCACCACAGTCCTAAGAAAATACATAAAATTGTTACCATTGCTCATTTAAAATACAACAGAGTTATAATAATAATAATGATTAAAGTAAACCTGAATCCACCACAGTCCTAAGAAAATACATAAAATCGTTACCATTGCTCATTTAAAATACGACAGAGTTATAATAATAATGATTAAAGTAAGAATGCATATGAAGTCACAACTATGCTGAACTGCAAGCATTATAGCTATCTTCTCTAACACACGAAGTTAGGCCTATTCTCTGATGAGGTCTGTATTTGCTTCCACAAAAGGAATAAAGCAATATGAACACCACAAAATAATCATTCGATATACTCACAAATTTTTAAGTCCAACATAAAATCCAACTTCGTTGTCATTGATACTTTCTAATTTATGCTGGTTCGCAATGTAACTGTTGAAAACACAAGAAAGAAAATAAATATGAACAYGCTGCTCCCATAGCTTTGACTGTTCAAGGTCAGCAGAAAGTCTGAAAGACAGCAACGGCTTCTGATCTACTGCAGAAAACACTGAAATCTTATTGAAGTGCCTGCAGAGCAGAAATATCCCTTCCAGCCCACCATCCCCCCAGTTAAAAGACATTTAACTGGTCTTTTTCAGAAGGAGTCTGGAGAATGAACAGCTGAGTTTTAAGGGCTGCCATAGCTTTATTTCCCTCGTGTTGTCATTAATCTAGTCACTCATTGAACTGATTTACTCCCTGTCCCAAAATAGTTGAAGTTCTACTTGAAGCAATAGGAGAACAGAGGATAGGGAGGCTGTCTTGCAGTATCTTAAACACACAGGTGGACATAAAGAGAATAGAAGCTGTTGTGAGAGACCTTAGCACTACGAGCCCTCTCACACACCAGGAACAGGCAGAGCCCCGAGAAGATGCAGGAATGCTAGTTGTTTGTATTATGATTATGCAAGATCTATATACGAACAAAGACAATGACAGAGAACCTGTTGTATCTTCTGCAGACAGTAAAAAAAAATTACAGTGCAAAGCAAGATGTCTAGGAAAGAGGAATCAGAGGAAAGAGCAATTGAGTGATTTTCTGAGCAGAAAAGTAAGCCTAGCGTAGGAAATCATCTTCCCAAAYAGTTCATGTATTTTCAAAGATAATCCAGCCACAGACAAAACTTAAATTGAAATTCACCTGTATTTTTACAACAACTCGGAATGAATCAAAGCAACAACACAGTAAGTTTCCCTAAACAGAAGTCGTCTGTCTTTTACTAGAATAAAACTTGTTTTCATTTTAAGTGTTTCGTGTATTTAAATGGAACTCTGATGAATTGGAGAGGAAGAAGGCGTATCACTTTCCCAAAGGCAACAAATCTACTTAAATGGGTGTTTTAGAGAACTCCTTTGTGTGCCTGCAGCCCAAGAGAAGCTTGAGAATCCCACGAGCTAGGCTGGGCTTCTCTCCAAGCTGACTTGGGCTATGGTCTTGCCAAGTGCCAGGAAAAGCAGAAAGTTTCTCCTAATGGGACTCATTGTCCCTTGAGAAAAAGAACGGGAGTAAAGAGATAGCACGTGACAGTGGACAAAACACATTATCACAGCATCATATGACAGTGACTGTTCTTTAGGGCATCTTAGAATGAGAATAGCAYGGTGTACTCATTATAGATTATTGTTTCCTAAATACATTTTGCCTTCTTTGTGTTTGCTTTTCTTTTTTAGATCAATGAGATTTAATACATTTTGGATGGCCTTATTAATCAATTTTTTGCTTGTTTGTTAATTTATTTTGCCAAGTACAAATTATGCAGTAAAATATTAAAGACTATCATCCATTTCATTTGAAAGCTGTGTAAGCAGACAATCCTACTACCTTTGAATTTATCCTAAACAAGAATTAAGTTCATTTTATCAATCTCTTGAACTTCATCAAGCTAAAAAAAAGTTATACAAGAGATATCAGAGCTATCTTTCTCACTCAGTTTTCTGTGTTCAATCAATAAGCAGCCAAATGAGACCAARAAGAAACTGGGAAATGCAGAAGAGCAGGAATTAAGAAAATGGACAAAGCAACAGATAGGAGGAGGGACTCAGAAAAAATGAAAGGGGGGAAGAGACTGAGCAACTGTTTTTTACTATCTGAAGATTAAGTCATCCACAGAGCTCTGACATGCAGTACCACATTCCAGCCCCATCACTTAATCAAACACATTTATGACACATCAAGATCTGACATTGCAATTTTAATCATAAAAACATTTAACCAGAACCTCCCATTACCAGAAGCTACAGAAATCTGACACAACTTAAAACTGCATGGAAACCTATCAGTGTATTTACATTTTGTGGTAAACCTCATCCACTGCACAACAGCATGGCTCTGCTGAGTTAACGAAGCTAYCACAATTTATGCCAGACCAAATATGAAGGCAGACTATTGCAGTCAGTGGTGTTTGTCTATTATTAGGGAACAATATTTGGGATGAAGAAGCAACATAAATTCACAATCCYTTCTCTCCTGTCTTTCTCTTATTGTATCCCATAAAAGAAGTTGTTCAACTTTTTTTTCTGTGCTGATGCTAAGTTCTTTATAGTCAATGATTTATGACTCCAAAGGAAACTAMAAGAACCCATGAACTTTCCATAGGGGAGTTTACAAGTAGGGACCTTGAAAAAATTCCAAGTGGAGCTACAATTAACTCAGAATAGTATCTACCATGCTTTACTTTTGTATACTGCCTCTTTTGCACAGGGATGGATAGTCAAGCAAATTCACAGACTGGGAAATCCCTGCAGAAGGAGTAGACATATGTAATTTACCGCAAATAGGTCAGGTCCTTTTGGCTTCCCTACTTGCTGATGAAGCCCTTTTTTGGTTAAGTTTTTGCAACTACTTCGCAGGAGGAAGAAACATAAAATTGCAAGGACTGCTGCCATACCCTTTAGGGTGAAGTTGCTCTCTTGTTAATTCAGAGGGAGGTTCGAAATAAAACCTTTTCTCTAACTGCAGACTATTTTTACCTTCCTCACAACTACTCTACCTTGATGTTACTTATCATCAAACATTAATACTCTAAAAGCTCCAACGTGCAGTGGGCGATGTTGAGAAATGTAATTTGCCTGCCTGCCCTTAAGAATATCCACCCTGTTCTTTAATTGAACACTTTTTATTGTAGCACAGAAGAAAAACATCCTGACTCATGGCTGGCTGAAGTCACCTGAGGAGCCTGGAAGCTCCACCACAYGCTACAGCACAGTGTAACACCACTGAAAGCTGGTAGAGTATTACCCAACCCGGTCACACTTAACATCTTGCAAATGTCAATTACTGTCTATAAACCAAACCCTCATCCGGCTACAACACTACTCACTTGATTACACTATAGTATTCTAATTTCATCTCTTCATCATAAATTACTGGTTAATTCTGATAAAGACACTCAGAATCATACAACTATCGACTGCACATTGCAAGCTACACCAACACATACATCTTGGCACACTTCGACAATTTAACAATTGAATAATGCACATACTCATATTTTACCATTTCCATAAATTTCTGGAGTTTTTTAAAATGCAACAGTAAAAGACGTATCTTTTTTCAATAAATTATTTTAATGGGGTATTCTACATTACACATGTAAGGGACAGCATTAAGTCAGACATAACTGATAAATTATGAGAGTATGAAGAGAAAGTAGGCTCTGCACTTTAAAATAGTGCTAGAATAGCTCAAAGGAAAAAAAACAGATTTCATGCTAACTTCAAATCAGGCATGTCCATATTCTTTCTCGTGAAAATAAAACATTTGGTCAGCAGAAATACACCGCCTTATTTTTTCTAGATTAATGTTCATTAAGCTGTACTATTCTATTTGGAGCTGTAAGGAAATGCTGCAAAATGAGCCACACACTAGTCTTAACAACATAGATGCAAGCACATAACATTGTAATGCAGCTCCAAAAAGATTTCTGTTGCCAGAAAACTCCCTTTATAGGAAACATATTTTCTTAACACTCCAAAAAATAAATCAATTATATGTTTAGTCCTGGTTCATACAGCTGGAGAAAAAGCTTTGGAAATTAATAAACATTCCCTGGTGAAATGTTTCTGAACTTTGGGGGAACATTTTACTCTTGAGTTATTTTTTCACCGGATCTTTAGGGGAAAAGGCAGCACACTCCAGACATTGAGCTGTCAGTAGATGAATTACCATTTAATGACAGGTCACGTCTGTCTCTAGTCTACACTACTGTGAGAGCTGCATATAACATCCACAACTTAAAAACTGTTAAGTTCACTTGGGCATTATTTTCTAACAAACTCATGTGTCAGACCAAGTTCATCAAAAGGTATGCTAAAACTTACGGACATTTTCAGCACACCTGGGCTGATTTATGGTCATGCATCAAAATCATGCAAAACTTATAGGTTTGACACAGTTCTTGATGAAAGCTGGCAGATTCAAATGGGTTTCATTTGCAGTCCTACTGAAACCAAGCTTTAAATAAAGCTCAAGGGGTGTGAACTCACATAGTTTGAAAGTGAAACAAAACACAAGTTGAAAATGAACACAGAGCTATACAACATTGCGTACCAGGAATGTCAGGTTTCAGACAGATGTAGAGACCAATCACATAACTTTCACTCAAGCAAGAAATCTTTATACAAAGGATCAAGCTCCTCCTTGAACAGATTATCTATAAAATGTCTAACAACAGGCCAATAAGTATAATGTATCTACACCAGCAGTAAGTTCTTTACAGATACACAGATTCAGTACTACTACAATTTACAAGTACAATTTAATGTATTTTGCTATCTTAATCTAAAATCATCAGTACCAGAGTTCAGAAGGCCAGTATCAGGAAACAAAAYTTCTAACACTGAAAGTATACTCCAAATCTCAGAAATAAGGTGGTCAACTTTTTGGCTGTCTGGTGTCTCTTGATAAATTCCCAGCAAGTCCTTCTCTTTTTTTTTTGTAACTGTGAATCACTTTGTCCCTTCAGAAACAATGGAAAACTCATTGCCACTATCACAGGTTTCTTAAGTCATCTTTAAWTTTTTTTTTGCCTCCCAATTAGAGGATGTAATCATGAGTCATACAGGATTACAGAAGGTAGTTTTCCATATTCCAGTACAGCAGCTCTAGGGCTGACAGAATTAATGCAGGGATGTTTCTTTATGGCACAGAGCCAGGCACACACATTTTTTGAACATATTCCTCACTACGCATATCCCATATTCAGGTAATGCACTGCTCAGGGCTATGTGGAACTAAATATCTCATGGCTAGGACATAGGAGTCGTCTTCAAGGACTCCCTAATCTTGATCTATGGCCATTTCAAAGGCCAGGTGACAGGGGGAACCAAATGTTCTCCTCCATACCGAGATACCATGATTATCCAATTCATAATATCCAATTAGTACTATG